GCCTCCACCACGGCACCAAACTGGCTGAGCGCTTGTCTCTTCTTCCGGCAGGAAGACACCAAGCACAGCCATCTCTTCCCTCTTCCTGTCTGATGCGCCGGGATGGGAGACCACGCTCTTATGCGGCTTTTCTGGTGGGTTCTCGGGCTTGTGAGCTGATCTCGGGCTTCTGCAGCCTTCTCTCGGAGAAGTCGCCGCTACGGTGAGATGCTGTCTTCGAGGAATGGAAGCATTCAAAGCCAAGAGCTGGGCAACTGTGACATGGAATCCTCACTGCTCACCTCCCCTGGAAAAGTGTGGGTAGTGGAGTGGGTAGCAGACAGTGCCCTCATCCTGTGAGTTCTGGAGATTTCCTTCTCAGACTCCTAAGTCTGCATGAGTGAAATATGAAGGGCTCTCGGTGCTTCTGTCTCTTCCTTTGAGCCTAAGATGGGTGAGTCCGTTGCCCAGCCTCAGTGGAAGGATCCCAACCCTTTGGCACACGGCTTTGCCGGAGATGGGCCCATCCAACAGACGTCTTCTCCCTGGATGGTCAGATAGAAGCCACAGACACTCAGCCATTTCATACACACCGTTCAGCACTCACACACTGTCTTCTTTCTGGATCCCCGTGGACAGTGGCTCCATTGTCTAATTTTCCCAGAGCACAGCCGTAGATGCATGCTTGTGTAAAGGAACACAAACCTAAGACGAAAACCCAGAAGCCATTGGTCAGGACATTCGCAAGTAGAGTCACGAGCTAACTTGGGGATGAGGGGAAGTGAGGCGGAGCTAATCCAAAGCTCAGATGGGTGAAAGCAGAGCCTGATAGGTTTCTGCTGTGTCCCATGGGAATCTCTTTCTTCAGGCTGTTTGAAGTAAGGCCTAAGGAGCCAGGGTGGACACAATGCCCAGTGTGGGGGGCTTCCTGGGGGCCCCCGGGAAGCCCTCAGCCAGGCTGGCGAGGAGGTCTGAGGGGAGCTTTTCGGCACAAAGCCACCTCCCTCTTGAACCCTCCTCCCTCAGGTTTCTTTGAGAGGGTGCCAAGGTTTCACATGCTGGCTTGGGAGCAACTCCTTCCCGATGAAAGGCCAAGCAGGAGGAGTTTTTGTTGCCTGCACTGCTGGGAGGGGTGGGGGGGTCCCACGGTGAGACCCCCACTGAGGAAGGACCTCAGACAGCTGTCTGCCAAGGCACAGAGGCACTTCTTTCTTATTTTATGAGAAAGAAAACAAACAAACAAACAAAAAGATCTAAGGGAAGGGGAAAGAAAGGTAACCACGGAGATCATCCTAAGAAGCCTAAGACAGCCAACTCCGCCAGCCGGGCAGTGGGACGCTCGGCTTTGTTCTGGTGGAAGATTGGAGGCTTATTTGGACCAGAAAAAAACAAAACCATCAGCGGAATAATCAGATGGCCTGGACTGGCTATAGAAGACTCTATCTAGCGCTGTCCATGCTGCTTGCTGGCTTCCTATGGAGATGAGAACCTCCCCCAAGACTGCCATTCTCCAAAAGTCGAGTTTTTGGCATGGAGCTGGGACCCTGGCAATAAGGGATTAGAGGGTCTGGGGCCTGCTCCCGCCTTCTCCCCGCCAGTCCCACATGGAACAAAATACCTACTGCTGAGTGGCTGGCTGGCAACTTCCCCCAATCCCGCTCTCCACTCCCAATGCCTGTGTGTACCAGGGTCCCCGGAAGTTTGGGGAAAAAGATAGAGTCTCTTGGGAGAAGCGTCACTAAACTTCCTGGGAGGGAAGAGTCGCTACCACTGTAAGACTCAGGGTTTGAGCCCCAGCGCAGACACACACACACACACACACACACACACACACACACACACACACACACAGAGCTACAATTTATCTCCATGACAGTAACTTCCAGAAAAAGAAAAACCTGCGCTGTCTTGCTTGTTTTGTTTTATATGGCCTAAGTGACACTCTGCCTGACAGAAAGGGCACTGTCACTTTCCCAAAGGTACAATCAATACCTGTGCCGTGTTGGGGTCCCGGGTCGGGTCAGGGAGCACTCAGTTCCTGGTAGTGTCTTCTATGCAATCAGCCTTTGAAAGGGAAAGATTACAACACAGAAGGAAGGGACCTTTCTCTCTGTGACCCTCTTGGCTTGCCAAGCTCCTGGAATTAGCAGTTAGGACAGGTCCCTGTTTCCTAAGACCAAACTGGAATTTACTTCCTTCTCAGCCACGTGGGGTCCTTGTGTGATGTCTAACATTAATAATTGGGCAGTAGGTGGTACAGGACAGCATGAGGAGACACAGAAAGGACATCAAACACAAACATGCATTCATGTGCATGCATAAATGCACACATGTACACCTGCATAAACATGCATGTGCAAACATGCACATAAGCACGTATGTGCATACTCACACATACATGCATGCACATGCGTGTGCACACACATGCACTCATACTGTCTAGACGATCCTTCCCCTATCTGCTCCCACTCTCCTCCCCCCTCCTTCCCATCCCCACAGGGTGAAGACCCCACCCAGCTCTCACCCACAGCAGAGGTCTACACAGAAACACGGGATGGATGACACACACCCTTAGCAAGTCATCACGACAAAAATGATCCATTCAAGGAGGGAAAAAGGGCTTTGCTCTCCAAAACCTCACATCTCGCCCACCCCGTGGTTTCCAGCTTTTAAAACAGAAACCGGGCAGTGGTTTGGTGGTTGTGATTTTCAGGGGCCATGGTGTTAGAGTCCAGAAATATATATTATGGTTTTCTGGTACCAAAACACAGTCTGAGCAACAGGGAGGATGGTAAATGTCATTTGGCAGCCAGGCAGCAAAAGTTCCAAAAACAACTTTTTAAAAATCGGGGACCTGGCTCAGTTGGCAGAGGGCTTGCCCACCGTGCACAAACTTCTGAGTTCAATCCCCCAGTACTGCACAAACCTAGCATGACAGGCACACTCCTGCGATTTCTGTACTTGGGAGATGGGGCAAGAGGAGCAGGGGTTCAGGATGAGCCTCAGCCACATGGGCCAGCCTGGGCTACATGGGATCGCATTTACAAAAATAAAATTAGTCAGTAGTTCAAACAACAAAAACTCATCTCATGCTTACTAAGGCCAAGTCTGGGAAAATAGTGCTGAAACAGGCAGTGTTTCTGCCTTGCTAACAGGGACAATGGACACAAAATTTTACGAGTTAAAAATAAACAATACATAAGATGAATCTCAGCCAGAGAGGTGAGAGACGCAGAGGAAATAAAAATGGTAGAGACAGATGAAAGGGGGAAGGAAGGGTGACCACTCTCTGGTCTTTGGAGGATAGAATGGTCTCATCTGAGGACTCGGGACTGGTGCTAAAATCTAACCTACCCAGGCTTGGGAAGAACTGGGAGGGGGCCAGTAGAGGGGGAGGAGCAGGAGCAAAGTAAGAGGAGGAGAGAGGCTTGGGAGACCTGGGTGAATCAGCTTGGCCAATCCTCTTTCCAGGGTTCCAGCAAAAGCCCCCTTCATCCGAGCGCATCACCATTGCTTCCAGACATAACACAATCATAACGTCTTCCCTGCCTGGGCCTCTGGTTCTCGTCCAGTCCCTTCCTCTTCCCTCTGTCTCCCCGCACAGGCACACAGCTAAGGGGCTTCCCAGAGAAAACGAAGTCTTTTCTTCAAGATCTCAGGACCACCCGTAAGCCGGGCACACGACCAAAACCCCTGAGAGGAATGTGTGAGTCAGAGGCTCGGGGGCCAGGTGGACATGCCACTGTGCCCGGGGAAAAGGGTGTCTGGGGACTGCTCTGCCTTGTCTGTCTTCGCCTTCCTTGGTTCTGTATGAACAATACTGGTTAGTAGTGTGCTTGTTAAAAAAAAAATAGATCTAGAGTCTGAGAGGTGAGAAACAGATCCTGGCGGCTGGCAGATAGCGTGACTTCTCTCTCTTTGCTTTCCCCTGTCAGCAACGCCTTCCTCCTCCTCCTCCTCCTCCTCCTCCTCCTCCTCCTCCTCCTCCTCCTCCTCCTCCTCCTCCTCCTCCTCCTCCTCCTCCTCCACTAGCCGGCGCCAGCCCGTGCAGTCTTGCTTTTCCTGGACATTGTGCGGACATTCAAAAGTTGGACAACAAGGCTTTAATCCAACTTGATCATCTTCTCAAAAGGAAAAACTAGAAGAGTTTTCTTTCTTTTTCTTTTTCTTTTTCTTTTTGTAAAGACAGAAAAAGAAGAAAAAAACGTGGAGGGGTAGAACAAAAGTTGGGAGAGGCCAGACTCAATGGATATGATCTGAATGCATATTTGTGTTACAACCAATACAACCAGCATCAGAGAGGGACCAGGATCAAATAAGCGGTGGGCCCTGACAAAGAGAAGAATAGATGGCATTGGAGCCATCTGCTCTGGAGGACACCCAAATCTGTCTGAATCTGAGAGGCCAAACTACCAGCTATTCTAAGACGCCCATTCCAAGAGTGCCCGATGCTGAGGCACAATCAGTTTCTCTCACCATCACTTTGGCTGCAAGTTTTTTTTTTGTGCAATTAAGTAATTTATTCCTTTCTTCAGCCTCCTGATTCTAATGAAGCCCAGCCACAAACAAGCCTCAGTTGTTCCTATTCAAGGAGTCTGATTGCATCTGGCCGTGATTGCTGAAAGCCCTGAAGAGGAAGCAGGGAAGGGAAGCATATTGTTTGGGGGGTAATAGGTGAGGACCTGCCTCTCTTGACCTGTAATACATTAGTGTCACTGAACATTTGGCAGCCTTCAGATGATTAGCAATGAAGATGAATCGAGCAAAAAAGAGGTAGGAATCTGCCTCCTCTGCATCGCCAGCCCCGCATACATTTGCATGCTGATTAGTGTTCTTTTGTCTGTGTTCCTAATTATTGTGACACATTATGTCTTCATCATGAAGATTCTGATCTGTCTTGTTCAAAATGCATGTAGAAAAAGTGCTGTTTATTGATTCAACATGTAACTTTTATTTCTATGTTTGCTTTAATTAAATACATATTTGATTGCCTCTGCCTACTGTCTTTTTTTTTCTTTCTATTTTTTTTTTTGCTCTTATTTATTTCATCTTGTTGACAAACACACAGGTAACCTTCTTTTATCGGGCTCGGATCATTCGGTGCACGCTGCCTCTCTCGCTCAGCCTCCCTTTCTCTACATGGCGGAGATGTTGGCTTCCATTTCCTTGGGGAAGGAGAGGAAAAGGGAAATGAGCGACCAGTGTCCCAGTGAGTGTGTGGAGGAGCGGGGGGGGGGGCAGCCTGGGGCTCCAGCCTTAACAAGAGCAGACGGATGTCGGTGACTCCAGAGAAAGACTTACCCGGGGAGCACAGGCAGCAGAAGGGGTTAAAAATAGCAGGGTCCTGTGAAAGCGGGAGGCTCTCTGTCATTCCCAGTTGTGTTCATACTTGGTTGAAGATGGGGGTCCTCGAACTAGGGTATGAACACCCCTGTGACCTGGGTTAGACCTCCAGGTCTCTGCTGGAAATCCGGGTGGACAGTCAGGCTGCTTGCCCAAAGCTGGCCTTGCGTCTACCTAGGCCCTCTTTCTAGAAAGGGACGTGGTGGAGGAAAGACACCATACCTCACAGATTCCCCAAGCAAAGTGATCAGGAAGCCAACGCCTCCAGGAAGTGGGGGTAGGAGACAAGGAACTCTGGACGGGGGAGCATGGGGGAGCATGTACCCCACTGTCTGCTGGGGCTGTGCCCTCCAAAAGATGGGTTTCTTCCTTTGCAAGGAAGGGCAAAGGAGAGAGAGCAGAAAGGAAATGGAAAAGTGTTTGTTTCCTGTTCCAGCCATTCGTGGTCCTAATGTCCTCCCAGCCTCCAGCCAGGAACATGCTACACAGCTGTAAGGAACACAAAGCTCATTGGTGAATCCAATCAGGACCCTTAGAGAGGAAGAGAGCGCCACAGAGGAGTAATTGAGAGCCAAGGGCCCATGCATGCCCAGAAAGCAAGCCCAGCCCAACAGAATGCAAATGGCTCCTCACTGAAGAGGCATAATGCCCACACTCTCCCTCTTAATGGGCAATGATTGGCTGGAAAGGTAATCAACAGCTCTGCCCCCAACATCTATCCCTACGGGGAGGGATGATGGGATCCATATTCATGAGAACACAGGCCTGCAATGTGTGCTGGGTGCCGGGGGTGGGGATGGCCTAGAGGAGCTCAAGGTCCTTGGAGAGCAATAATGAGACCCTGAGCGCAGAACACAGGTGCTGTCAGAGCCCCTGGACCGCCCCGTCCCTCCCTTCCATCTCAGACTCACAGGTGGTCACAGCTCCGTGAACCTGGGGCCAAAGAGAGCTTGAATACAGTGAATCTGTGCTCTGCGCGTGTGTATGTGCGTGTTTGAATCCTCTCGGAGAGTTTGTACCAGCCCCACCCTGCCCAGCCCCGCCCCGCCCCACCCCACCCGGCCCCACCCCGCCCACACCTGGCACTACCAGCAGAAGCAGGTACAGAGCAGAAGGCAACCAAGGGCACGGCTATCACAGAGGCCCTTTGAAACTAATCTTAGAAGCACATGCTGAGCTGACCAAGCTGTCTCCTCTCCAAAGACAGCAGGCCTGACCCTGCTGAGCTGTCACCTAGTTAGTTTGCTGATGCTGCCAGTTTTACCCCACACTTCGAGAGGCCGGACATCTAAGATCAAGGGTTCTCTTCATTCTAAGATCCTGTCCTCACCTGGCAGTGGTGGCGAACACCTTTAATGCCAGCACTAGGAGACAGAGGCAGGTGGATCTCAGTTCGAAGCCACCCTGGTCTACAGAGTGAGCTCCAGGACAGCCAGAGCTGTTACACAGAGGAACCCTGTCTCGAATATAGATAGACAGACAGATAATGATTAAATGAACAAATAAATAATCTGCCCTCATTGCACCTTAGATGCTTAAATGTCCCAGTTATAAGGAAATGGCAGCAGAAGAAATGGAAAGAATTTTCCTAATGTCCATTCTTAGCAAAATTAAGAGTCAGAAATCCTCTGGTTTGTTTAACAAATACAAATCCATGACCTGCAACTTTCTCCAAGAAGTGTCACTATATGCCTTTCCACTGCACAGTTCTTACATTTGCTTTTTCTCTGTGATTGTCCTCTACTTACTTCCAAACCAAATGCATGTCCCCAAGAGGAAAGATCGTCACACACACGCACGCATGCACACACACACACACAGTCACACACACACAGTCTCACACACACACACACAGAGAGAGAGAGAGAGAGAGAGAGAGAGAGAGAGAGAGAGAGAGAGAGAGAGAGAGAGAGAGAGAGAGGCAGACAAGCACATATATACACACACACTGTAACTGTACTGAATTTGGGTTTTTAGACACCCTGGGCAGGAAGCCCATACTGAACTTACATTCTGACCCCCCAAGACAGAGGCTCTTCCATACACGGTGCAGGCAGTCCACTCAAACCGAGGCCCAATAATGATAAATAAAGAAATATAAGAATCAACAGACAAAGTTGACTAAAAACCACCTCGTGGGGAATTTTCAGAGTGAGAAAAGAACTCCGTATGATATCACAGTGCTGAGCAGATGCCATGCATTGACTCTGACCTATAGAATGTACCACACCAAAAGCCAGGCCCAATGTGGACTTGGAGGGCTCGGATTTATCCGCATAGTTCTACCGACATAACCGTGCTGCCCTGAAAGGTGACTGCTCACATGGGGAAGCCATGAACAGTAGGGGCGAGGCCATATGGGGAACAACAACAAAAATGTCTTTTTAAAATAAGTTGAAGCCAGCATGTTTTTTAGTGGGCCCAGGACAAAGGGATTAGCAAAAAGAGAAACAGTGGGCTGGTGGTGTCTGTGGTCCCTGTGCGGGAAACAGACCCTAAGTCAGCAGAAGTGACGATGAGAAGGAAGTCACCTGTGCCCAGCAAGTTCCAGAAGTTCCCATGTCAAAACTGAGTCAAGGTGTCCGGGTGGCCTTTGGAAGCTGGAGAGATTATGGAAGTGAAATCTCCAGAAAGATTTCAACCTGTTGCTGATTGGATTCTTAAGACTCTGAGTGTGGACTTCAAGCCACTAAGTTTGCAGCAAATTTTTATATAGACACTAACATGTCCCTGACCTCAGGGCATTACACAGCGGTGCCTCTCCCAGAAGGCTCCGGTCCTCAGCAGCTATCTGCCTGGTTGGCTTTTCTGTTGCTGCAGCAAACTTTGACAGAAAGGAACCTGGGGAAGGAAAGAGTTTATTTGACTTACGCCTCTGTGTCACAGTCTGTCACTGGGGGAAGCCAGGGCAGGAACTCAAGCAGGAACCTGGGTTAGGGACTGAAGCGGAGACCATGGAGGAGCGCTGTTCACCGGCTTACTCTCAGGCTACGTCAGCTAACTCTCCTACGCGGCCCAGGCCACCTGTCTAGGGAAGGACACCTCCTGCCCCCAGCAGGCTGAGCCTTCTTACATAGGCAATCAAGAAGATGCCCACGCCAAGCCTACGGCCAAACCCACGGGCCAATCTGCAGGGACCAAGTCCTCAGCTGAGCCCCCCCCTTCCCAGGTGTGTCACCTTGGCAGGCAGCAACCCTGCCTCCTCGTGGCCTTGGCACTCGGGGTGGCTTCTCTTCAGGGTTTGTTTAAAACCGTGATCCAGGGCTGGGAAGATTTCTCAGTGGTTAAGAGCACTTCCTGCTTTCAGAAGACAACAGTTCAGTTTCCAGCACCAATGGCAGTCAGCTGCCTGTAGTGTCTGATGCCTATACCTGCTTCTGGCTTCTGGGGCACCCACACACACAATAGCATGCACACACACACACCCATGCACACACTCACACACACACAATAGCATGCACACACACGCACACACGCATACACACTCACGCACACACTCACGCACACACAATGGCATGCACACACTCACGCACACACAATGGCATGCACACACTCACACAGAATAGCATGCACACACGCATACACACTCACGTGCACACGTGCGTGCACACGCACACACGTGAACACACACACTCAATAGGTAATCATTACAATAACATAAAACTGGACTGCTTTTCTGCTATGCCCTCTTTCCCTCTTCTTCCGGTGGTCAGCTTGCCTGGCACACCTGCTTATTTCTGGTTCCCATCTTCAGTAAACTGTGCACTTCATTATAGCCAGGGCTTGCCTATCTGACCTAAGTCACCAAACCCACATCTAGTGCATACAGTGTGCAAAGACCTGCCAGATGGCTTGTCCCTCTCCTCCATTCCCTGTACGGTGACAGACGTGAGCCAAGCACAGGAAAGTGTGTTAACTCACCTGGCCACAGAGGTTCTCCACACATGTCCCTCTAGGGGACTCTCCAACATACCAGGTGAACAGTGCTGATTTCTTACCGAGGCCATAGCTTATTGAGGACTGCAGGAGTGGAGTATTCACCAGTCAGTGATGGCAAACCGGTGTCATCCCAAGAGCCACCACCCTCTGCAAATGGCTAAAGCATCAAGAGCCGCAGGCAGTCAGGAGTGTGCACACGGCGGGTGGGTGCTTGCGTGCATGTGTGTGTATGTGTGTGTTTGTCTGTGTCTGTGAGTGCCTGTGTGTGTGCATGTGTGGGTATGTGTGTGTTTGTCTGCGTCTGTGTCTGTGAGTGTCTATGTGTGTACACAGATGGGTTGTGTGTGTCTATGTGTGTACATGTGTGCATGCACGTATGTGTGTGTGTATGTCTATGTCTGTGAGTGCCTGTGTGTGTACATGGATGGGTTGTGTGTGTGTATGCATGTGTGGGTATGCATGTGTACATGTGTGTCTGTGCATTCATGTATGTGTGCATGTGTGCATGCATGTGTGTCTATGTGTATGCATGTGTACATGCTGGTGTGTGTCTATGTGTGTACATGTGTATGTGCGTGTGTGTGTGTGTGTGTGTGTGTGTAGGGTGGTGTACATGTTTTATGCACCTGTGTGTTTAGGTGCATATGCACATGTATGCACACATATGCGGATGTCAGAGGTCAACCTCAGGTGTCATTCTTCAGATTTCATCCACCTTGTTTTTGAGACAGGCTCGCTTCCCTGGAACCTGGAGCTCATCCATTAGGCTAGGCCAGCTGGCCAGTGAGTCCCAGGGATCCTCCTGTCTCTGCTTCCCGAGAGCTGGGATTACAAGCATGTGACACCATACTCAGATTTTGGTGTGGGTGCCTGAGTTTAAGCTCAGGTCCTCACATTAGCACAGCAGGCACTGTACAGACTGCTCTGTTTGCTCACAGACACCACATTTTATACATTAATAATAATAATAACTAATCCACTGTCGCCCACGGATATGGCCACAAGTTTGGAAATACGAAAACTCCCGGAAACTCTAATACTTTTGCTCAGGAACCAGCCTGGGTCCTGCTCTCCTCCTCATGGTAGGGTCCCATGAAGCATGGAACAGGTAGCAAGAGTCAGAGCAGGGCAGGGGCCACAGGCAAAGGGATTGGTCAGGGGCACCAAGAAAGGGCATGTCCAACCTCTTGCTCCGCGAAGACCAACTCATGGAGGGCTGAGGCCCAGTGGCATTGGCTCCCTGGGAGAGCTGTAATCACTCACCTGGGAGAGACCGCTTCTAAGACATCTCCACTCCAGGGCCTGATGTCCCTGAGGAGGAAGCAAAGGAAACCCTTGAGGGACTTCCTTTGTTTGTGGTTGCAGACCCAGTGGTAGAGCACGTAGATAAACAAGCCAGCGAAAAGACCCAGTGAGGTGTGAAAACAGGTCTGCACGGGGCAGACAACTGCACATCCCGTTCGCTCGCCCTCTCCTAACAAACCGATACCTGGGGTGACATTTATTAATAAACGGCATTACCAGGTGCCTGATACGTGGCGCACAGAAATTAATTACCCAGCCCATGGTAAAACCCTAACAAGCCCGCAGTGCTGTAACATTTTGCTAATTGAAAATGAGATAAGTGCTGTGGGCACAATTTGCATTCAATGCAGTATATTAATTATCTTTAGTTCTCTTCATGATAAATACACCTGACTGAATCACTCTCCTAATTTACCGGGTAACAGAGTCATAAGTAGATTCCCTTGGGCTCAAGGCAAGGCACTGAGCTGTCGGCAAGAGGGAGGCCTTGGCTCTTCTTGAGTCCCTCTGCCGAGTTAGCTCGGGCTCCCCTTCCCTCACCTCATCCCTGGGGAAGTGGTGGCGGAGCCCTGCTACATCCCTGAGCTCCCAGCCTTCAGCAGAATCCTTCCTTTCGTACCGTGCCAATTGTCCTAGACGCTCGGAGAACATGATGTCAGGAGGGTTGCATCTCAGCCAGCAGTGACGCCAGTGTCCCCTGAGTACGGTGTCTTTGAGGAAAGGCCTTCTGCTGCCATCACCCCACAGCGCACT